GAGGGTTATTGATAATGACACATAGAACTAGCATCTGTGTTTGTCGCGCCAGCGACCAATCAATCGTGGCTCGATTTTTTGGCATTTTTTGGTCCCCGAATCGGTGAATAAAAGTCAAATAAAAAAAAGAAATAAAAAAAGACAGAAACCGAACCTCTTTACTTTTGAAAGAAAGTTCACCTAGCTTCACTTCGTCTCTTTCTCACTTGTCACCATGTTGATTTGTTGAATACGTTACAGTTACTTTTATTTTTCCCTCTTTGTGGTGTATTATTTTGTTAGCGTGTATTTTTTTCTTTCTTGTTATTGTTCTGATATGTGTTGTTTTTCTATCAATTTTTTTTTGTTGGGGAAAAAAAAAGGGGGGGGGGGTGTTGTATAGTGTAACGTCATTTAATTTGATGTTCCTACCTTCATTAGATTCTAAATATATATTATATATATACATGTATATATATATATTTAAATGTGTTATGTTAGAGCGCAGTTCCACCAAAACCCGATTACATGTACTGACACTGGCAGGCCCCTTAATGTGTGTGATTCCATAATTTACATGTAATATCCTGTACTTTGTTTTAAAATTACCCACATTAAGGGTTAAAACAGCCAATCTTCTTTGAACAGGTGGACTCACGCCCTTATTTGTTAATTTTTTGTGGTTGTTTATGGGCTGTTCTAATTTTGATTTCATTCGGTTGTGAAACCTTTCTTTTTCACGTTTTTACACTCATCTAAAAATCTCTAGACTAGCTCTTGAAAATTGAAATAGTATAGACGTAAAAATTTGCTCCTGTGTGTGTGTGTGTGTGTATGCATGTGCGTGTGTGAGTGTGTCTGTGTGTGGTAGTAAATGTGTAAGTGGAGAGTGAGGAGCGTGTGTGCGTTTGTTTTTCGGGCTTTATTTCAGCCTTTCAGTAACAGTTCAAAGTTACATAGAAAAATAGAAACACAGGATCCATTCACTCCAAGGCTCATGAGTCGTTCCTCTCTTTCAGTTTCACTCATTCATTCAATTCCTGTGTTCTCTCCCACGGCTCATCTCCGTCCGTATGACTTTCACACCCCACCCCCTCCCTCCAAGCACACACAAAGAAAATCTCACTCATTCCCTTAACCCTGCGAACCATGGACAATAATATTAGCAAAACACTGCCTTAGCTGTATTCCTTTCGTTCGTGAGCTGTGGACCAGGCCAGGGGGGTCGGTGTCGTCGCCTTGTAGTTGCTGTCGCCTGTGGATACACTCGTACATTCTTCCTAATCTTTCACCTGCTCTGTCACTCACACTGTCTCTCCATCTGTTGCCCACTGATCATGTTTAGTTAGTGTGAGTATAAGTTTGAGTGTGTACATAAGAGTGTGTACATGTGCATGATGGTGGTAGGTGTGTGGTGGGTGTTACTGAAGGTTGTCTGTAGTCGGGCTTGCCATGCGGTGTTCCTTCCCAGACCAGAGACAGAATGAAAGTCGGCGCCGAACTCTCGCAAAAAATAGGCAAAAAATCACGAGACCTGAAGCCGGAAACCGCCCAGAGAAATAAAGATCGGCACTATTTCTCCGAACGTTCGGAGAAATAGTCACTGCATTAAAAAAATATGATAAAACACACACAGGCACGCGCGCACGCTCACACACACACACGTGGGCGCTCACACATACACATACACCACACACACGCACTCCCGCAGAGGGAATATACATGGATAATAATGGACACCCCTGGAATATTTTTAAGTCAGCTTGGCAGTGACCTAGAGGTGATGTGTCGTTGATCCCGATTTTTTTCACGATGTAAAGTCCCATTTTTTCCCCACTGAGATCCTGACTTTCAGAATTCATAGAGTGGCAGGTCTATTTTTCTTGGAATATTATAGTCGGAGTTGACCCCTTTTGGTTTGTCAACTCCATTTTATTTTTGATAGTCTAACCAACTGCTCAACCACCACCACTCTTCCCCCCTCCAAATGGACACAACTCTAATTCTAGTCAATATTAGTCATTTACTTCTTAAGTTAATTCAATCATAGTTATGGTCACTCTATGTGTGTCTGTGTGAATGTGCATGTGAGTTAAAGGATGGCAAGCAAAAAATCTTACTAAAATACTATGATGAGATATTGACTTTTACCCTTTAAGTTTCCAAAACAAGGGTTTCAATACCCCTTAAAATTGTAAACCAAAGGGTGAAGGAACCTCTTAAGTCGGCCTGAAAAGGGGAGCCCTGGCGGGTACCAGTCATTTCGTCGCACGGTTATTTCGTCACACCAGTGCAGTCAAGACGTCACAGTCGTCTCGTCACACCCCAAATACACAAGGTTGAACAAAGGTTTTAGATTGAAGAGAGGTGAGATTGGCAAGATCATCATGTAAGTGTTAGAACTGAATTAGCTAAATGTACTGCAATTTTGCTTTTATTAAGCCTTGACCCTTACTTTAAAATTTATAAAAATAAAGCAACTTACTCTTTACCAGACATTGTTTTTTTGCCTCATTTAAACTATTGTTCAACTACTCATGGAACAGTTTAGACGAAGATTTAATTTACATTAATAAAATAATTTATTATAATTTCAAAAAAAGCTTTTTATGCTTAAATTGCTTAAAAACAAGAGCCCAACGATTGAACTGGTTACTTTGAACAAAGATTGCTGGCGCTGATCCTTCAAAACCGACTATAAACAATTTTGGAGAGATTTAGGAAAGTCATTTCATCTCATACATGATGTGTATAATTATGGGGTGTGATGAGATACCGTGCAATGAAATGACCAGTTTCCTTAAAAACTGTCAATGTCATTTAAGCAAGAGAATATTAGATGTTTTAGACCGCAGATTAAAATTTGGTCTACAAAATCCGAAAACAGTCTTTAACAACAGAAAGTAGCCAGTATTGTAAAATTGAAAAATACCTCAAACTGCAGCCTCCCAGTGAACATTGAAAATATTACCTAATCTAAGCTCTCCCCCAGAAGCCATGTTCAATTCAGTTGAGTTGTCTTTTCGACAGAAAAAGTATTACAAAGTCTAGATTATGGTGATTATATTTTTCTTATGATCACCACTATAATTCTACAGCACTTTGATTTTCATATGTACCCATTTGACACAAATTTTGGCTTTATAATACTACTTTACATCCATAGAAAATGATTAAATTAACCTTTAAAAGACACTTGTTGATGTTTTTATTCAAACTACAAAAAGCCTAGTCCTGCAACAATATTTTGAATTTTTTAAAGGTTGGGGGTGGGGTTGTCAGGAAGCCAGCCCACCTAATCTAATGAAAAAAAAATCAGGGAGGGAAGGGTAATGTTCGACACATATTTGTTCTAAACATCTCATAAATCACTTAAGTGTTCTCAACACTCATTAACACACCCCCCCCCCTCCCCTTTATTGTCAAATGCCACCTCTATTCTCACCCCGGGTGAGAATAGCGCAGGCGAGTCTTTTGGCTATTCTCAACCGGTGGGCGTTCACCATTATAGCCTAGATCTAGATCTCTCGGCAACAACCAATTTTGCGTTCACCTTAAACCACAGAATTCTACACTCTGATAACAGAAAAATTGTAGAATTCTGTGCCGTGAACAAACATTCCATTACTACTGTTAGCCTACTAAAAGCGTACAATTTTGTCTGTGGGCAGTGGAGAGAGAGAGAGAGAGGAGTAGTGCGAGAACTTCCGGGCAAAACAAAATGGCGACCCGCGTAGTTCGGCTCGATTCAAAAAGTTAAATAGCCGTAGTATCTTTGTAGACGACCAAATTAATTTACTTTAGTGTTTTAACATTATTTTTAAACTTTATTTTGGTCAATTTGATCGTCCACACCAATAGACAGTATTCAGAAAGAGACAGAGAGAAGAGGGGAGGAGTAGATCTTGCGAGAACTTCCGGGCAAAACAAAATGGCGACCCCCGTAGTTCGGCTCAATTTGAAAAGTGAAATAGCCATAGAGCATCTTTGTAGTCGATCAAATTAGCTTACTTTTGTGCTATATATAACGTACTTTTCTTTGCCTTTATCCATTTGATCATCCACATCGGTAGACAGTATTCCGAAATTAGGAAAAACAGGTCTTGTTTCACACCGGGTGAGAATAGCCTACGGTGGCAAGTCTCATCCGGTGTGAGAAGTCGATCGTATTTCTATTCTCATCCCGGGTGAGGATAGCCACTTCCATTGTGTCATTGTCAAACCACAGAACTAACTCTTCAACAACAACAGTCATTGAAATAGGGTGCTAGTGCTTCTTGTCTAGTGTGCAAGTCTAGAACGGTACAACAGTGGTTAAGAAAAGCAAGACGCCCTGACAAAAAAAAAAATTTGAAATTACTAAATTAGATAGAGAGTGTGTCTTTTCTGTGTTGGTGTGTGTCAAGTGAAAGTGCAATTATGATTCTAGACTAGATATCTATATATGAATCTATCATGTGTGTACAGTGTAGAGTTGTAGCCTTTTGACTTTGTGGCATGGCCTGTGGCTGGGGTGGTGTGGTGTGCATATGAGTGTTTGTGTATGTGCATAAGTGAGTGTGTGGATGGGTACTGTGAACTTGAGTGTTTGACACTTCAGTGATTGCTGTGTGTCCTTCAAACCAAATGTGATCCAATACTGCTGTTGAACGAGAGACACACCTCCAAACTATCCAACACACCCATCTGGGTTAGAGTTAGACCTGGGACAGTTCTGAGAAATGTCAGTATGCCAAGGAACGTCCTAAGTGACACATGAAGAAGCTTTGTAACAAGATATTTATAATCGCTGCATAAAGGAACTGAGCTTTTTTTCTGAAAAGGGGTGCTCTTCATCACATTGATCTCTCTATCGTCGTCGAACAACAACATGGAGTTGACCTCTGACACGATTTGGGCCACCTCTATTCCGGTCTGCAGCTAAAATGAGGACAAATTACAAGGCCCATCGACCACGAGGTTTTGATATGGAGCAGACAACAAACAAATTTGAGAATATACAAAACATTTCAACAAAATACCGTTCAGATCCTCCTTGGAGATATCGTCTAAGTCGTGGGGCCCTGACAGTAGGGCTGAGGCAGTTGGGGTGGATTGTCTGCCGGGTAAAAGGGGATGCCCCGAGCCGAGGACTGCCTGAGCGTGATGGTCATCGTTTGACCGTTCCCCGTTAGTTCCGTCGGTAAGATCCAGTATTTCGCTAGTATCAATCATACCACAGTGAAATAATCCAGGCTCAAGAAGCCTTCAAAAGTCATATTTGAAGGACGGGGCACCGATTTGCGGCAGCAATGTCTTCCAGCTGATTTGTTTACGAGTAAACCATACGACTTTTCTTTTCTGCATTCGAGCACTTCAACACCAGTTCCTTGAGGTAATCTGCGCATGCGCGCTAAGGCCGAACTAGGTCGAACGGAGATAGCGGTAAACACAGGATCACGAACGGATCTACCTGTCCGAATTACAAAATTTTGTATGCTTCCAGTATCGATTCATGATAGCTGTCCCTTCACAAAAGTATATCTACTTATGCTTCGTATACCAGACTGTTTGAACATATTCTAATGTTATTTTTTGCTAAATCAGTGGATTTATTTTTAAAAGGTTCCAATTTACAAGAATCCCTACGAACATAACCAACGCTCTACATGCACACGACATGCTCTCATTGCAGGTTCACAGAGGCCATCAGCCCCAATACACGTTACAAAGGGCTATAACTACACACTAAATTTGCCTGTGGTCGCATTTGAAGCGAATGTGGCCTCCTACTATAAGGAATTTAGAACACATAGGCCTACTTCGATTTTCCTTACAGACAACTGTTTTTTAAATAAATAAGACCTAGGCCAACAAATAACACCTGAACTGAGTTAATTATTTCCCATCCTTACAAACGAATATAATAATATAGCCTTTTGTGAGGTTGTTAGGCTTACACCCTGAATTCATTCTTTTTATTCTATATGATCACTTTGACTTTGTAGAGCTTAACTGAAGAAAAATGAACTTTATATATAATATAGCTGCCTGGGTGTACGAGCGCATACGTAGGTGTGACCTCAAAAATATGCGCGGGTGTAGATCTTTGAGTGCGCGCCTTCGCGTAGACTACATTAATTTTGTTTGTATTTCGTGTGTGTATGTGTGTGTGTGTATGTGTGCGTGCGTGTGTGTGTGTGTGTG